CACCTATGACAATACAATACTCCCCTCTTTTGGTCGTGGTCCAAAGTATAAAACATGCATCTGTATGTGTGTGTAGATTACTGTTCCAATCCTGTTGCTCCTCCCGGATCGTCCTCAATTCATATTGTGGGCTTTGGTGCCAAAGTAGAGAGGCTCATTTCCTTAATTCATACTACTGTCATCCCTGAAGCAGGTGCAGTTTATCTTTCATCTGAAAAACAAACATTAGAACACAAGAAACACCCACTTTCCTCTCTTCGCAGCGGCCTGTCAATCAACAATTGGACAAAACATAACTACATTGACAGACGGTGTGTGACATCAGGGCAGAGGCTGTAGCCAAATACAGACTTAACTCTACACAAAGTTGTCCTCCGCCCATGACCGCTCACTGCTGTTGGACCGAAACTGTCCGGGCAAAAAGACTCCCAATTCAGCAAGGTATTCATCTCAGAGTACTTTCCGCAGATACTTTTCTTACACCTGTTCAATAAAGCTTGTCATCTTTGAATCTCTAGTACTTACACCGTATGCTGTTGACAAAAAATAATTATTCCATGATCACATTAAAACATTACAGAAAACTTTTGTTATTCCATGATTCCGTTCAGCACTCCTCGTTCACTCCCCAACACACTCACAACACACTCACAACACCCCACGTTAGTATTGGTCCAGTTTGTTAAGGTCAACGTAGTGTATTGGACATGACGCACAAACATATAACATACACAAACATATAACATACACAAACAATAACATACACAAACATATAACATACACAAACATATAGACAACACAAGAGGCCTGTAATTTTAACTTTGTTATATTTTTCCATGTCCAATTACAATTGTCTCATGAGCTATTTTATAGTTGCAACTTTCAGAGCCTGCAGAACATGCAAAGCTTTGAGAGATTTTTCCTAAAAGGATCCATTTCAAACTTTAGTGTTTAAACCACGTGGTCTTTACTCGGGCTTGTCACAAACTGTGTCCCCTATATTTTTAATGAGCTCTTGTTACTAAAAAAAAAACTCATGCACGTGCAATAAATGTTTTTCCCTTTTTTTTTTTAAAGCCAGTTCGGATTCCTTAAAAATGTAAATTAGTTTCAAACTTTAATACTTCACCTTTGTTTCACGTTCATGTGGAGAAAAGACCATTGTTTTATGTGTGTGTACTTGCGCCAATCATGTCTCAGATAAACTGCCAACAGTTATATCAAAGACATAATTGTCCTAATTGTTTCTAATTTAGCTATTTGGAAGAGAAACATGTCATAAAAGATTTCAAAAAATGTCCCTACATCTTTGTTTTCAACCAATGAACAGTGTTGCGTCTATGTGTTATCAGAAATGATCCAATATCACCTTTAGCCAAAATTCAGAAATGCTTTAAATCATTTTTCAAACTTTAAATTGTCTGAAACAAACCATTTTGTACTAAATGCAGCGTCCATTAAAAGCTGCAGTTCTCTTTCTAGCACCAGTTTCATCTGTGCATGTGATTGTTCTTAAATGAGAAACGAGCCACGGTTCAGAGGTTGAAAACACTGCTTTAAATATCCGTATTACCAAGATCATGCAGTCAAAATCAATAATTCTAAACTTCTCCGCGTCTATAACTTTAAATAATACTAGTTTCAATAATAGAGCTCCTCTACTTTAAATATACTGCTGTTCTAATCTCCTTGTGTCTCATGCTAAAGCAAGAGTCTAATTAATTTTAACGATTGTCCTGTATTCTTTCATGCAGCTAAATGTGGTGTTATGAACGAATGACCTAAATGTGTAAATATGACTTAATATGTCTCTGTGCTTTTGTTGTCTGTATATATTTACCTTCTGTCTGTCTCATTTGCCCGGCCACGTCCTCCTCAAATGTCTGTTAATGTCTCTTTATTTTACTCATGGCGTCTTTCAATGTCTTTTGTCTCAAAGTGTCCAATGCCTTTGCCTCAATGCCTTTTTTCTTCCTCTTCAAACAATCACTTTTCTTTCTTCTTCTTTCTTTTCAATCAATCTTTCTTTTTCCTTCCGATAACTTTTTCTCATAATGTCTTTTCCTTTTCAATCACTTTCTTCTTCTTTCGACAACTTTTCTCATGTCTTTCTTCTTCTTTCTTATTCTTTCAATCTGACACACCCAAATGTGTCGTGTCCTTCTGCTCGGCTCACACACCGTTCCTCTTCCTGCACATAACTTCACCCAGTTTGTGCAAAAGTCTGTGGCCTGTACTTTGCTGCAGATGATGATGATGATGCTGCTGCTGTTGCTGCAGCCGATACTGCTGCGGATGATGATGATGCTGCTGCTGTTGCTGCAGCCGATACTGCTGGAGATGATGATGATGATGAGATGCTCGGTTGTGGTTTGTGGCAGGGACGATTTTGGCGATCGGCCAATGAAACAGACAGAAGTTTTCTCAGAAAAAAACAGACAAACAAGAAACACAAACAAGTGTGTGTTAATACAATACAAAACCAATGATTAATTACGAATCTAAATAAACCTATGAAATAATTACTATTAACATTTTAAACATTAAATTCTGAAAACCAAATCTGTATTCAACTGCTATCCTAAGCTCTATTTTTCCAAAAGTATACTGTTCTTTAAGATCAGTTTAAATTTTATATCACCAAAACGTTGGGAAACATGTTTAATAACTTGTCTAGACGTTTGGAGATGGTCAAAAGAATAACACAATGCCTCTTTATAATCTAACTCAAAGTTCTGTGATCATATGACTCCATGACAGTAACATTATCGTGTGTATAAATGTAATTTTCTACAAAAAATATTTGGTATGCCTCTTTCTTAACTGGAGAGAGGGAGAGAGAGAGAGAGCAGACAGAAAGAGGGAGGGGGGGGCTGAGTGGCCTGTATGCAAGCATTTTTCAGAGAGGGAGCCAGGAGGGAGAAGGAGGGAGAAGGAGGGGCTTTGTGGCTTCTCAAACAGAGGAGTACATGTACGACTGAAATACACAAAATTCATGAACATCCCCTTTAAAATTTGCTACATTTTCCTCGTTTTTTATCGTGACAATGTTTTATCAGTGGTGAGAGTTCTCTCACGTCAAACGACACTTTACATTTATTTAAATACGTCAGTAATGGAAAACATTACAATTTGCTTACATGAAGAATGCATCACTAGGTACAGCCGGATCTTTTTCGTAATACCTCTGTAACTACTGAAACATTACATCACAATACAAGAGAACTTCCATAACTGATCTGGTCATTTCTCCACATGGAAACTCGTATTTACAGCCAAGTGGCTCTCTTTTTCCTCATTAATCAGATCATTATTATTCAATAGTCAAAATCGAACAGTTTTAAATACTTGGCTTTTTTGTTTAAATTAAATGTACCCTTTTTCCTGTCCCTATTTCTAATTTCACTAAACACTTGTGCCTCTTTTGCACTTTAAAACGGTGTGCCTCTTTTGCACTTCTAAAACCCTTGTGGACTTTGTTTTCCCTTTTTGTTTTTTTAGAGGGGACCCAAAAATTCCCTCAAGGTAAAACGTCAAATAAACCTGACTATTGTTTTATCGCGTCCGATAAAACGCCCATCACGGCGGGTCTGTCCACACCTGCAGTCATGTTGGGCCGAGATCTCTCTGTCTTCTATTTAAAACAATGTGCAGATTTTAGAAATGGTATCTGCTTACCTGTGTTTTGCAGAGTAGAGAGCCCCCAGACCCAACAGACCCAGTCTATCTATCTGAGCTCATCTTGCGTCTTCTTTCTGTATCAAATCACGTCAGGGTCACCATCTGATGTCAAAAAATGATTTGACTGACGTGTTCAGAATTTGATACAGAAACAAGGCCAAGAATGCAGGAGTTAAAAATAGAACATTTAATTCTCTTTACAATTAAATATTGATACAAAAACTCTCGGAGCCCTAAATTCTCTAAAACTAACCCTATGCTGAGCCATTCTAACTGTCCCTCCAGGCCTGAAAAATGTGCAGGGGACATCCAGGCGCTCTGCGATGTTCCCTGTCTAACTATCCCTGCTCAGACTGCCTGAAAATCTCCTCCGAGCAGTTTCTATCAGAAAGTCTGATGACGTCACAGGTCCCAGACTGGTCCAGTCTGATCCAGCTTTTTCTGGTTTTGGGAGGCGCGTACTCCAGCTAGCCCATTGGACTCCGGACTCTGTCTGGTCTGGTCTTGGTCTGGTCTGACATCAATCTCCTTCTCCAAACAACTCTTATCTGGCTGGGGGAGCTCTGCATTCCTTACATGGTCTGGCTGACTCGACTAGACCCACTTAATATGAAAATCACTGAAAATATAAACAACGTGTGCAGCATTTCTTGAGATGATGCATTACCATCCACTACATTTCATTCACTCTGCATCAGATACATTTACATTTCCTACGGCTAACTTTACCTTTACAACTTAAAAAGAAAACATTAGATAAAGCTCTAATCTTCAATCAGTGCTGAAAGGTTTTCACACTCAACAGCCACTTTTTTTGTTCAGTTGGAAGATTATTACATTCTTTGTTTGTTTTATATAAAATCGCTGATTCTGCTAAACAACGCCAACGTAACATTAACATGTGTTTTTATTTGCAGTAAAATTGTAAAAACTGGGTGGTAAAATATTCAGCAAATCCATAAATAAGTCAAATCATTTTAAGTTACAGAGTTCTGAAGTCAAAGCAAAAAACATTTATTTTTGGTGTACTATGGGAACAATTTATGGAAAAATTGGACTACAGATATAAGCATTAATGGGTATAACAAGCTTCTCCAGTCACACAGAGTCACTGAGTAGAGCCCCTGCTCCTCCACGTGGAGACGAGCCAGTGGAGGTGGCTCAGATATCTGTTCGGGATGCCTCCTGGGAGGCTCAGGACACAGAGGGACTGTGTCTCTCAGCTGGCCCACGAAACTCGGCAATGTTCAACTTCATATGTAAATATCATGTCTGGTCCTAACCCACGTGTGTGTGTGTGTGTGTGTGTGTGTGTTCAGGCAGGAGCAGAAGTCTTCAGGGCAGCTGCTGCTCAAACAGACGTGTTCCTTCTCTCAGCAGAACCCAGGGCAGGTGCGGCTCTTAACCTTCTCAAACACAGCTCTTCTGACTTTCATATTCATCATTTGTGTTCTGTTCCTTTGTGTTTTGAAAAGCATCTTTCAGTGTCTAGAAAGCAGTTTGTTGCAATATTATCATTATTATTTTTAAATTAATAACAACACTATACTCCTAAAATGTTAATGAATTCCATTCAACACTAATATTTTGGAATACTGTCAAATAATCTCTGAGCGACCAAATCGTGCAGTTCTTTGACAATAGGCAAGTGAAGGACTAGCCTGACTCTCTCCAGGCCCTTGTAGTTCCGCCATGCTCCACCAGAGGCGTTTGGCTGACCACAAGGGTCTGGGATCGACGCCAATGCAAACTCCTTCAGGACATCAAAAAATAATCGCTCAATCAGGATCGCCGGTGTACTGTCGGTTTTGCACCGCCTTCTCGTGCGTGTCTCACGCTGCAGCGAAAGCAATCCAAGATGGCGGACTTAAAGTCCAATCTGTAATAATAACTGGATAGGGTATTACTAGCTTTTATTACACGGCTCCTCACAGCAGCAGTAGAACGCTCCATTGATTTGAATGCAATTTCAAAACGTTCTACCGGTCATTATTTCTTATAACCGACCTCTCAAAACAATACTGCTTGTAATTCATGTGTGTAGATTGCTCTGCAAGTAGTTGCGGCCACTCCGGAGCTACCCACGCTCAATAAACACAAATACCTATCAATCAACACTTTTAAATGTTAATTGGAGAATACACTAGACATATACATTCTTAATACACATGCACGGAGGATTTCAGAATTTTCTGTCAACGTTTTCATGACAAACATTTTTTTTTTATGCGCAAAAAAGCGATCGCAAAAAACCCGGAAGTAGATTCCGGGACATTTTAGGACACATTTGCAGAGGATCAAATGATGGATTTAGGTTAGGGTTATGTTTGGGTCACTCACCGCTGATGCTCAGAATTCTTTGTTCAGTTTTCTTGCAGCTCCAGAGAGTTCTAGTTTGGGAGTTGCTAGCCTAACTGTCACTAGCCTAGCTGTTGCTAGCCTAACTGTTACTCACATAGCCACGGGAAAGCCTTTGGGAACTATTTTATTTTCGGTCATTAAATAAACCTTTTGGCATTCCTAAGAGTGGACGGAAGTTTATTTTGTGTGTTCTGTTGGTACAAAGCCTTCAGGGCGGAAGCAGACCTCTTCGCCCTGTCGGTACTTATTTTCCGATAAGGACCTGTGTACGATACATTATCCCTTACTTATTATACGGCTCCTCACAGCAGCAGTAGAACGCTCCATTGATTTGAATGTAATTTCAAAACGTTCTACCGGTCATTATTTTCTATAACGGACCTCTCAAAACAATAATGACAGCCATTCATTTGAATAGGGCGCCATCTTGGATCACCGGGGTTGATTAAGACACGGAGGTCACTTTTAATGCAATATGAGGCGAGATGTTGATGGTTCCATGTTGTTATATGTGTGTTTTAAGAGTCGAATGTTTAAGTACTAGTTTAAGTGTTCCTGTTACAACACTAAGCAGCAGGGTTGCCAGGTTGGGTGGTTTCCCACATACTTTTCATCAAGAGACTTGTAGGTAATAAATAAACAGAAAAACAATAAACAGAATCATGATTGCCCAAGTTGATTACATTGCATTTTTAGTAAAAAAACATTCTGGGTGTTTTTTTTTGGGGCATTCTCGCTAGTTTTGGGAGGGAAAATCTTACCGACATTTGGCAACCCATGGGAGTTGCGTGCTGAATCGTGTGCTTCGATGTGAGTGGTTGAGGGAACACGTCCTTCAAGAAAACAGAACAGTGGTTTATCCAATCACATACAAGGATTTTTTTTACAAGGCGCCGCCTTCTGAAATTCATCCGCAACGAAGCAGACCCAGACCCTCGTGTGAATTTCAGCGAACTGCAAGGTTCTGGCGAGAGTCAGGCTGGTGAATGACACCAACTCTACCCTTTTCATTTTTAATGTTCACCTGACAAAACCATGTTAGCACACTCCAAAGATATTCTACATACCAAAAACAGTTGGGTAACAAATTACCCCATTTTATATCCCGGCCACTAGGTCAAATCCAGCCGTAGTTATTTTGACCCCAGAAAAATAAGTAAATTTTAATCTGAGACTGTATATTGGGAGTGGACTGGCCGAGTGTGACATCACCTTAGTTTTAGCCTTAATGTGAAAGAAGCTGATTTGAACATGAGCTCTTATTTGATCATTTGTTCTAACGGCGTTAGCAGTAACAGGGGCAGACATGTTAAGGCAAACTTGAGTTTGAAGATTGAAGGCATCTGATTGGTCAATCCTTAAAATAGCTCATATCTCGATTTTATGTGGCCCTCTGCGTTGAGGGCCAACCTCTCTTCCACCAACTTAGTCATAGTAAACCTCACTGTAAAGATCAGAACCTTTAACTATTCATGCATTGAATCAAGATGGACATAACATAAACTGAAGTTTGAGTGCTCTAAAACGTTTGGGCCCCCCTTCTGTAGACCGTAGGTTAAACATGGCGTGCCTGCTCCTCTTTCAGTTCTGCGTCCTTGTGTGTGGCCTGTGCGCCTGCGGAGCCGTCCTGGGGCATGTCATTCCTGGGGCACTTCTTCCCTTCGCTTTAGGTGAGTCACATGTAGTACTAAAAATATTCAGACTATTAGATACTGGTTGGTTTTTGTCACTATTTTGTTTCATTCCGGAGAGAGCTCTGGGATCAGAGAGTGTCAACTACAACATTTGAATGGCAGGGCAATTTTATTTGTATGGCACAGTTTATACACAAAGCGACTCAAAGTGCTTAACAAAACAATCACACAATCAGTAAAAAAGTGAAGATACAGTCCTTCACTTGCAAACACAGCTGAATAGAACTGTTTTTATTTGAACATTGTCACAGTAGAAGCCTGTCTCACATGTTCAGGAAAACTGTTCCAGATAAATCTGCATAAATCTGAAACGCTGCCTCCCCATATTTAGTTCTGACGCAGAGCAGAAGTAGGAGTCCCGTGCTCCTCAGAGTCCCAGCAGGAGGCCAGTCCTCAGGTTCTCATTTGAGTTGGTTCATATGGCACCAACATGTCACAGATGCACTTTGATATGAGGCCATGAAGAGACTTGTTACAAACAGAGCTGCTTTAAAGTCTGTTCTCGGAGCCACAGGGAGCCAGTGCAAAGACTTGAGACCAGGACTAATGGGATGAAATACAGAAAAGTAAATGAAAGAACATACATTTCAACATTGCTCACATTCTTACACACGCTACAGTCCACACATTCATGATCCAGGTTGGACTCGTTGGGAGGACATCGCTGATGGAGGATGTTGGTGAGATATGAGGGGGGCAGGTTTTGAGGGGACCTGTAGGACCTTCTATATGGCGGGCAGCCATATTGCAGTTTTTGAGATGAGTGGAAGGGAAGTCGGAAAGTGTCCTATTTCGTTCTCTTGTGGTCATGTATCTGAAGGCTTGTTTCTGTCATGTTGTGCTGTCCAGTGCTGGGGCTCTTCCTCTGGCCGCTGCTCTCCTCCCTGACCCTGGATTTGGACCAATGTGTCGACAACATGCTCCACAACCTCGCACTGACTCATGGTAAATATCTGCTTCTTATGGTACACAGATGTGGGACATCATGAAGCAAAAGAATTCAATCAAAGTTAAAGTAAAGTTCAGAGTTATACTTTATTGTCCCTATTGTCCCCAAAGGGAATTGTGTCCTTTTCCTTTGACCCATCCTTCCTTGCTGCCAGGGCGTCTGTCAGGAGCAGTGGTTACTGTAATACAGCGCCTGGGGCCGTCTCCAGATGTTGATACAGGACCAGAGATGGAGGATTTTACCTGTGTTAGGGGAAACCGGAGTACCCAGAGGAATCCTACGCAGACATGGGGAGAACATGCAAACTCAGAAAGACCCTATTCAGATCAAGAGTGCTAATCTCTCAGCCACCGTGCCCCTTTTTTAAAAAGAATATAAAGATTTATTTTTAATACATTTATTAAAAGACTACAAAAAAGTAACAGACAACTGAGAAGTGAAAGAAACATCGTACATGATTTTTTACATTTACGATGGGGTGAAGATCAGAATCATTTACATGTTATCAATACAGGGAGTCCAAAGTATAGTTCCTAGACCAGTCCAGTCTAAACCAGTCTAAACCTGTCCAGTGAAGTCTGACCTGTGCTTGTGTTTCAGAGCCTGGTGTTGCTCAGCTGCAGACCCCAGAGTCAGACCGATCCTCCATCAACACCAAGGTTTGCATATTTCAGTGGTCCTCTTTTTGTTTACTGAAGTCAAACTAAACGATTGCAATATTCTTACACAGCTGAGTGAAGGCCCCGCCCCCCAGTGTGAAGGCCACGCCCCCCAGTATAAAGGTCCCATCTACATCAGCGGCCAATCAGAAGGTTTGCACACTCGAAAACTTTCACCAGATAGTGAGTGTCATTTAGCTTCCACACTTCTCCAGTAGTGTTCATTCTACAGACTGACAGTTATAAATATTGTTAGGTTCCAAAATACTTGTGACTATTATGCAGAATGTTACTCAACCTTATGAATGGAGTGATTCATGTCTCATATGTATTGAAAATATAAATCATCAAAGCTGCTCAGGAACACAGCGGCCTGTAGTGACGGTCGCCTGATCCTGATCAGTATTTAATCTAAAACTGTCCTCGATGGATTTATCTCACTGTACTTTCCTTCTCAGAAGTCGTCAGAGAAGAGACCCAGGATCTACTGCAATCCACTGCAGAGGAGGATCCAGAGGAGGCCCCAGAGGAGGCCCCAGAGGAGGCCACAGAGGAGGCCCCAGAGGAGGCCCCAGAGGAGGCCACAGAGGAGGCCCCAGAGGAGGCCACAGAGGATGCCACAGAGGAGGCCCCAGAGGAGGCCCCAGAGGAGGCCCCAGAGGAGGCCACAGAGGAGGCCACAGAGGAGGCCACAGAGGAGGCCCCAGAGGAGGCCACAGAGGAGGCCACAGAGGAGGCCCCAGAGGAGGCCACAGAGGAGGCCACAGAGGATGCCACAGAGGAGGCCCCAGAGGAGGCCACAGAGGAGGCCACAGAGGAGGCCCCAGAGGAGGCACCAGGCTTGCAGTGCTCACTACAGAACAGCCTTTATGACCAGTGCTTTATTGGGTATCAAGAACAGATGGTGGGGCCCCACAAAGACTGGGACAGCAATGATGTGGGGGCCCCAGGGGATGGCAATGATGTGGGGGCCCCAGGAGACAGCAGTGATGTGGGGACCCCAGGGGACAGCAATGATGTGGGGACCCCAGGAGACAGCAGTGATGTGGGGACCCCAGGGGACAGCAATGATGTGGGGACCCCAGGAGACAGCAGTGATGTGGGGACCCCAGGAGACAGCAGTGATGTGGGGGCCCCAGAAGACAGCAGTGATGTGGGGGCCCCAGGAGACAGCAGTGATGTGGAGGACTTTGAGCTGCTGGAGCACTCAGAGCTGGAGCAGTATGAGGAGCCACCTGAGCAGCGACACACACCTTCCATCCGCAGCTTCCTCTGTAGACTGCTGCGGTGACTGCTGCTGTGACTGCTGCGGTGACTGCTGCGGTGACTGCTGCTGTGACTGCTGCTGTGACTGCTGCTGTGACTGCTGCTGTGACTGTTGCTGTGACTGCTGCGGTGACTGCTGCTGTGACTGCTGCGGTGACTGATGAGATAAACCTTTAATCGTGCCTCAGAGGAGACATTACAGCAGAACAAAAAGAGAAATAAAAGACTCAGGTTATGCACACATCAAACAGGATCTATTATTTAAGATATTAGATCAGATTATTTAATAATCATATATCATTATTATGAAATAATAAAATAATCTCTGAAGCCTAGTCTGCAGCCTCAGGAGGTATTTACAGATGTTTATATTGTACTTTAGCAGCAGAATTATCAGATAAATGACAAATGTCCAGACTCAGCAGTTCTCACTGCTGTTACAGCAGTAGAAAGGAAAGACCAGCAGAACCTCTCCTTCACACAGCGAGGATGCATCAGTCTGTTGCAAAAGCTGCTCTCCAAAGGAGAAAGAATCTCCTGCAGGGGGCGACATAGATGTTAGTGTGTCCAGGACCCTCCTGTCCCCCACCTGCTGCACTGTGTCCTGGAGACAGGACAGAGCTGGACTTCCTGATGACCTGTTCCAGCTTCTTCCTGTCCCTCTCTCTAAAAGACATGCAGAGCCTGTTGCCGTTTTAAAGAAGCAAGAGTGGTTAGCACTGGTTTGAACACCGCTCGGAGCAGGGCCTTCCTGCATGTTCTCCCTGTGTCTGCACAGGTTTCCTCCAGGTGCTCTGGTTTCCCCTACCACTAAAAACATATACAAAAGGTTCAATCCTCCACCAAGCCGAGCAACAAGAAGCTGGGTCCCTGGGCGACCACTGCTCTGACTGGGGCCCTAGAGGCCTTGAAGGATGGGTCAAATGCAGTGGACACATTTACCTATGGGGACAATAAAGTATAAGGTATAGCCTAGTGAACAATAACATGGGAAATATTCAGAAGATAAATATAAATAGTGAGTTGGTTCGAAGGAACCGCTGCTGTTGTGCTGTTTTTTAAAATTAAGATCTAGGAAAATGCCAAGAAGGAGGCAAATACCAGGTAATGCTACTGTTTGTACTTATAGATTGTAAATCTATTTTATCATGTAGTTGATACACTGCTGTTGTCCACATAACTCGCTGTTGGATCTGTTGGAAAACAATGAATACACATTTGATGTCCAATTGTTTTTTTGTTGAATGTATTTATTATTATTGTGTTGAATGTTTTCCTTACTTTTAAATAAAAGCAGAATGTGATACTTTTGTTGTTTTAACGTAATTCAATTGGTTTGTTTATTAAAAGTCAAAGTACAATATATGCGGTATCATCTTGATCACCTGCAGGGGGCGACAACACCTTTAAAGTCAGAGGAGGACGAGTGCAGCCCATGAGCTCGGGTAAGGGTTAGGGTTAGAGTGAAGGGGGCGAACAGTTCACAGGGGGCTGTCTCACCTTCAGGCCATTAAACAGATAATGGGACCCACAACACCACGGCTCGCCTTGGACCCGCAGCTGCAATGAAACAGTGTGCAACTTCCCAGGGACTGTTGTTCAATCCCATTAAGTTCTAAAAGAAAAAAACACTGCTCAAAAGAAATTGACAACTTTGTAAAGTCTTCAGAAATAACTACTGTTGTGATTCTGGGCTATACAAGAAGGCATTGAGTTGAATTGAAAGGTGACAGTAATTTGAGGAGACCCACATCTGTGTCTTTAGTGGACAAGTAAGTAGGTCTTTTGGGCCTGATTTACCTTCATAGGTCTTTTCCACTGACCTCAGCTGAAGACATGTTTCTCCTCATTCTGAAAAGACTGTGGGTGATTTCCATTTTTACAGACATTCTTTAAAATCTTTAAACCTGAAAGGTGAATACAAATGGAGCAATAGAAAGGTGTGCTTTATTCCTCCCGCTCACAGTTTCCGTGGGATTGGAGTGGCCTGGAGACTTTAGGAAAAGGACATTACTGTTGATTTAACAGCTGCCGTACGAGCCCACGGCAGCTCGACCAATGGGTTCTATTGATTATCAAGTGAGAGACTATTTCATTACAGACTGTCTCACATTGTAAAGGATAAAAACAACTAAATGGAAAAAACTAAAATCCCCCATGTATGATCTGCCACTTGTCACCATGACAATATCATTTCTTTGTAATAATCACCCATATATACAGTACAGACCAAAAGTTTGGACACCCTTTCTCATTCAATGAGTTTCCTTTATTTTTGACCAATAAGTAGAGTGATGGGTGCTGGGCCAGATGACCTGGCCTCCACAGTCACCGGATCTGAACCCAATCCAGATGGTTTTGGAGTGAGCTGGACCACAGAGTGAAGGCAAAAAGTGCTAAGCATCTCCGGGAACCCCTTCAAGCCAGTTGGAAGACCATTTCAGGTCCTCTTGAAGCTCATCAAGAGAATGCCAAGAGTGTGTGAAGCAGTAATCAGAGCAAAAGTTGCTACTTTGGAGAACCCAGAATATAAGACATATTTTCAGTTGTTTCATACTTTTTTTTAGTATGTACATAATTCCACATGAGTTAATTCATAGTTTTGATGACCTCAGTGTGAATCTACATTTGTCATAATCATGAAAAAAAAAAAAAAAACTGACAAAGTGTGTCCAAACTTTTGATCTGTACTGTATGTGTACAGTGCCTATCAAAAGTACTATTACACCTTGAACTTTTGCACATTTCGTAACAAACAAGTAAAATAATACATGATCCTGTTATTATTTTACAAGAGAAAAGTGAAAAGTTGGGCCTGCATGAGTATTCATACAGCTCTAATTTGAGTGCATTTAATTGCCTTTAAAACATAATGACATAAAGTCATAATGACTGCTGAATGCTCACACCTTTCCATAATGATGAAATAGAGGTCTCCTGTGTGTCATCTACTCTCAGTATAAATACAGATGTTCTGTACTAAACAACTAAACAAACACTAAACAACATCATGAGCACAACAGAGAGGTCAGAGGTCAGGGATAAAGTTGTAGAGAAGTTTAAAGCAGCGTTAAGTTTTATCAAGATTTCCCAAGATTTAAAGATCTCACGGAGCGCTGTTCAATCCATTGTTGAAAATTAAAGGAGTTTGGCACCACTGCGAACTTACCAAGACATGGCCGTCCAACCAAACTAACATCATGGGGCACTGGTCAGAAACAACCAAGTGCGGGACGGTGCCGTGTGTGTGTGTGTTTGCATGAGTGTGCGTCTGTGTGTAGTCTGTGAGTTTCTGAGATCACATGAAAGCGGAATGAGACAAGAGCTTTTAGACAAATGGGGCGGAGCTACGTGTTTGTGCCAGAAGTTCATGATATCAGCATGGATGCGTCCAAAAACAACCTCAGGTCTGTTTTTGTCTAGGGAAAAACAGTGAAAAAAAGTTGATTTAGCCAAATAACCACTCCTCCTCTTCAGGCTATAAATGGTCAAATCCCCGTCCATTTAGCAAAAAACCTGGATCATTGCATAATTAATCTCTTTTCATTGATTAACTTTGCTCACGTTTCTAAAATGGTCACAACTATTTCATTGCCTCCTTACAACGATACAGATAGATCCAAAAGCTTATATGATAGTGATTATAGACACATGAAAAAACAAATCTCTGGTTGCAAACTAAATCTATAAACTTCACCGGATCAAATCACAGTGTATTTTCTGTTCAATGAATTGTAGAGTTTTCAAGTAAAGCAGGAAACCGTTTGCAGGCAGAGGAAGCCAGTATCTGTGTTTTATGACCCGTGAAACTGAAATCGCTGGAGCACTAAATGTCTGCCACTATTGATTCTCGGCCTCTCCATAAAAATAATAATAAGAGAAGAGGAGAGTGCTCTGATTACGGCCTTTATAGATTCGTGTGGAGTGTGTGGCTTTGTTCTACAGCCTGAGCAGCGTGTGGGGAAGCCCTCGGCCACTGCTCACCTCTTACATTTACAATCGGTCTGAATCCTCCAGCTCTGATCCTGAGCTTAGCCCCATAGAACACTGACATATGCATATCTGTTGGAACAAAAATATCTGTGCTATTTTTTGTCAATAGGGTTGGAAAAAAGAACACAGGTAACATTTGTGGAAAGCAGCATTCAGAAACTTGGCACCGTAGTATCATTGCTTTGTTGGGTTTCTTGGAACATACTTTAGAAAATGCATTAAGCAACAACAAAAAATCATGATTCCTTTGAACTTAAGGTTGCATATTTGTTACAGAGAGGCCCTATAGTGGCATTCTGGATGGGTAAGATGCAGGACACATTTTCCTACGGGGACAATAAAGCATGTTTTAACCTTCTTGGCCACTCACCAAGATAATTGCACTTTTAGATTTCTTCAATTATTTGATCTCAAGGTGTTCAGTTAAGTAATGCTTATATTGTCCATTTCTGTCAGGAGAAGTGGTCGCCATAGTACAGCGCCCAGGGACCCATCTCCAAATGAAGATGCTCTTTGATGGATTTGACCTATTGTACATGTTTTTAGTGTTGGAGGAAACCGGAGCACCCAGAGGAAAGGTATCTGGTATCGGCAAGTGCTCAAATTAAGGTACTCATACTTGTATCGGTTTTGAAAAAAGTAGTATCGGTGCATCCCTATTTACTTTTACAACTTATTTGCACTGTGAGCCAAAGCAATTTCCTAGCTTGTGACTCACTGTTACTCACAATGTTACTCCTACGCAGACACGGGGAGAACATGCAAAGGACTTGTTCCGACCGGGATTCAACCCACTCCGTCACCGTGCCGCCGCCTTAGGGTTGTTTTCAGAGACTTGATTTTCAAGGAAGCATCTACAAGTGGAACAGGTCTTGATAATGTCATTGCAGCGGCCATCTTGGAGTTCCATACGGACGAGTTTGTGACGTCGCTCCAGTGGGGGAGGGTCCCAGCTCAAAAGTGGCCAAAATGACGTGCGCTGACATGCTTGCAAAACCACCCCGGGCCGATGGGGGTGGACCCAGAAGAAGAATTAGCCAATGCTAACATATAGCGTTGGCAGACCTCTCAAAAACGTCTTTACAGGATGGACCAAAATCTGGCTCTTGGCCCAAAGCTCCGTTCCACATGTGTGTCAATGCTGAGGGGGGTGGATTTTTTTGGTCCACTCTAGTTTACTCGCGGTGAATTTTTGAAGTCTCTCGTTCAAATTAATGGAGCTGCGCCGGCTGACGCATGCTCAGATGCTTTTTTTCACAATTTTCTTGTGGGCGGGACCACTCGCGGCCATCTTGGATTGCTCCATGAAAGCACTTTTCATGGCCAACTCCTATGAACGGCGGAGATAGGCGTGACTGTCCGTTAATATATACAGTCTATGCGTCGCTCACAAAGTATGTCATGTTTTTGCGTGTACTTCTTCCATGACACAGACTCAATCAACAGAATATTTTATTAAATAATATCACAAGAAGAAACAAGAACAGACAGAAACATTAGCCAAAATATGATTTGTTGTTTCTGATGACGATGCGGTAGGATTTGAGGGCACAGAGCGATGAGAGGCACGAGTACAAAGCACAGGGCCGAGCCAGGGGCCGGGGTCACACAACACTACACACATCTACACACATTCAGCACAACGTTCATTCAGATATGTCCAAAGTCCACAGACCCCACAGTCGAAACAGGACTTTATTTGGATACAGACACTGAAACAAGGGCTCATGCCTGAAGTGGAAGGTGGTGGTATCTTTATTTGTGTCCTCAGAAACTACATTTACAGCAGAGATTCTAATAAAGTGAAACACAAACACCGCATAAACGGAATGAGTACAGGTTTGTCAGGTCAAAAAAATGTCAAATCATCACCTGAGCAACATATTTTAGCATTGCAATGTTTCGACTCAAAAACAAACTCATTTTCAGTCAATTCTATTCTGAGAGGTGCATTTATACAGTTAGCTTGAAATGTTTTTCGAGTACAATTTTGTTCCCTATTTTTTGTATTGTTGAAGCCCAGCCTGTGTACATTTAGTTTCTCTGACTTTATCATGACTTCTGCAAAGTAGTGAAAATCTCTAATGCTAGAGGTTGCTCAGATGACTCTTGGAAGAGCCTCCTGATCAATGACGCGATACATGGACTTGACAGGGGGGTCAGAGTTGGACAGGGTGTGGCACTGGTCTGACAGTGTGTGGTGAAGGCGGCCCCGGGCCCTTTGTGTGTGTGCGTTGACAGAAAAGGGAACGTGAGCCTCCTAGTCCATGAATCCACCGTAGCGCTTGTGTAGAGGGCTGCTCTCCCAGGCCCGCTTCAACACACCTCCGCTCCGGCCGCTGTCCTGGAGCCACTCGGGCCGGCCCACGCGCCTCATGAAGCCGCCATAGCGCTTCTCCAGCCCCCGCCCCAACATGGCCTCCAGCGCCTCGCTCTGGGCCCCTCCTCGCCGCATGAAACCGCCGTACCTCTTGACAGCCTCCGCGCCGCTCTCTCCGTGCGCTGTGGCTGCGCTCAAGATCTTCAGAATTTCGTTGCGGATGTTTTCCTGGCCGTCGGTGTTGGCGGTCTCCTCTAGCCCCCCCTCTGGCTGAACGGAGGAACGGCGAGCCATGAAGCCTCCGTAGCGTTTCATGAAGCCGCCATACTTCTTGGCCAGGAAGTGCTCGGGGGTGTCTTCGTCCTCCTTGATGGTCACTTCTGCGGTCTCGTCCAGCTCTGGGGGGCTGTCCTCCAGAGGCAGCTGGCTCTCACTCTCCAGAGAGTCCTGACACGAACGCAGCGTCTGAGAGTCTATGGGGCCGCCACACTCAAGGGAACAGGCCTGCACACACATGATAGGTTTCAATATAGATCAGTAATAATGTTATTAATAGGCACCTTTTTGTACACTCAAGACGCTTCATGTGTCATTATTCTTTCACTACGTACACAGTATGTGCCATTGGCCCCTCCCACCACCACCAACCATTCACACACACACCAGACTCATTCAAATGTGGGGGAAGTGTATTGTCTAAGGACACAATGATAATTTGGCACTTCAGAGCAGCAGCGGCCCCACTGTGGCACCTGGTGTTCCCCGAGGTCTCCCATCACAGCACCATCCAGGCTTTCACCTGCAGGGAAGACCACCTCGACTCAAATATTATAGTCGTATGACAGGATTAAAGACATTGTCATACAGAAAGATGCTCTCAATTTGTATTCTCACAGAAGCTTTTGACACTATCAGCCAATTCTCCTCTCCCGCCTCCAGGCCTCTGGTCTGTACTGTTCCAACTCTACCTCTCAAACCGACAACAAGCCTCTTACCTTAACTTCAATTATTTCTGCTCTTCATATCCACAAACATCGCAGGTCTTCATTAACAGCGAGACAACAAACCAAAAGAGGCTGAACTCACACGTCACTGATTACATGGTACATTTTCATTTGTAATGCTATTGTTTGGTAGTTTCACTGTAATATCTTTGTGACATGTACAAAGTGTTGCAGACCACAGATCAAAGAGTGTGACAAGACACTTTTGAGACACTGTATGGAAGCAGGTCTGCCCATCAACCATTCTGTGGCTGACTTCCTCTAAAGCCTAGCGTACATCGGACTGGCAACTGATTATATCCGTCGCCTCTGAGTTGCTGCCCCGCACACATCGACAATCTGGCGAAAACGGGCAACTCTGAGTCGCAGGCCAGTCTCTTGAATAACAGCGCGTACATCGACAGCAACTGGCCTCAACTACAGTGTGTTTTCTGACAACAAACTGTTGCGGGCTCGCAATACACGCAATACACACACGTTGTTGGAGCGGCGCATGGAGCGCGCACATCGGGGCAACTGAGGACAACTAGTTGCCGAAAAGTAGAACACGGGCAACTGACTGGAACTGGAGACCGACTGATCATCTCCAGTTGTAAGAGCGCGCACATCGACCGATTTCGGCAACTGATCATCTCCCACCATCTCCTCTCAGTTGCCAAAAGCCGCCTTGCAACTAGTTGTCCCCAGTTTCTCTGTCGATGTACGCTAGGCTTAAAGCAGACGACAGCGTGCGATAGGCAATCTAACAACTCGACCTCCTTGGACATGCCTCAGGCTTTGATTTTATCACCCGTTTTGTTTTCCATCTACACCAGGGATCTCTAACCTGTTTCCATTGGAGAGCGACTTTATAAACAGAAATGGCCTTTTACCAGTCGTAATACAATTGATGTCCATGTAATAGCTACAGCCAGTCATGGAGAACACACATGCATAATGTACATAATGCATTCATGAACAGATTTATAGTTATAATAGATATGCAATGACTCAAAGGTGGATCATTCTGGATCATGTGTTGAATTCTTGAAACCTTCTGGGAGCTAAGGAGGTAGCTCTATAGCTGGTGAGCTACCCCTGATCAAAAAGATCTAAGATTTATCATATAACAATACCACAGTCAATACCAACTTCTGGTTCAAAAGGCTAACCTCCTCTCTGCCACTGATCTGTCCCACTAAAACAACACACTCACTCTACATACATTTGATTACCTTTCTATCTGATCGTCATATCAGACAGTAGAGCAGGAGTCTCCAACCTTTTCCACCCAGAGAGCAACTTTCTAGAACTCTTTCTAGAACTTTCTACTCCTTTGAGCCTCCAGTGAAAAGGAGCCTATTGAATGTTGTGAGTGAGACCTGGACATGGTATTGTTACTATCAAAAGTCATTATTTCTAATCCATTACATTGTTAGTTTTCATGTAAGAAAGTTGTGGGCCTGTAAATCCTAAAGTTGTTTAAAGTTTAGAATCTTGATGTAAAGTCTAAAGCCTTTGGGGAGCCGCAGGTCAGACACCCGAGCAGAAGAGGGACACATTTACAATGAGTGAAAGACAATACGGTTTTACAAAGGTGAGTTTCTGACCAGTGGGGGCAGAGAGGTGTGCTGTCCCAGGAGCCCGTACACACAGCGGGCACAGTCCTGCCCACAGTCTGACGCAGAGGAGAGAAGGGACAGGCCGGAGAGCAGGGTCAGGGCCCACACAGCTCGGCTCTGCAGGGCAAGGGCCATCAGCTGCACACACACACACACACACACACACACACACACACACATACGGTATAGGGGGTTAGCACATGAAACACAAATAGACTTGTGTGAATGGACAAATATTGTGCAAAAATATAGTTTTTATTGTTGTACGTTTTTACAGTATTCCCTGGACTTTTACAGAAAAAAGGCATTTTCAGCCCAAACTCCTCCCCTCACAGAATACGCCAAAAATTTCTATTCTGTCCGGCTATTTTTTTGCTTGGACAAAACAATAACTAGTACGACATTCTGCAGTCGAAAAGTGTTAACTACAAATGTGCGATTACATGAGCGTTTTTAGAATGTTGCAAAGAGGATTGGATTCGGAACAGGGCTATTCTGTGTGTTCTATGTTTAGGTTTCCTCTGGGTGCTCCGGAACATTATTGAACATTTAGATAAAAGCCTCCAACTGTAATGAACGCAATTTGTTGCATTTGTTTAAAAAGGCAGAAAAGACCTCTGCAGCTCTGTTCATGATGCAACACACCATTCTGTGAGGTTGGAGATATGAGCATGGATAAATCTAAAATCAACTGTAGGTCTGTCAATGACGATCAATGTTGATTGTATAAATCGTATGTTAGGAGATGCTGAAAAAGCCGATTTGAACAATAAGTTAGCCGGAGCCAATTTCCTTATATGGGCATGTGTTCCAGTGGCGTTAGCTTTGAGTTGTAACCCCCGAAATCCACCACCCGTGCTTTGACCCGCTGCGCCACAACTGGTGTATCAGGAGAGGACTGTGTGTGACATCATCATGGTGTTAACCGTAATGTCAAACACAAGCTAGCCGGAGCCAATTTCCTTATATGGACATTTCTTCTGCGGCCTTAGTTTAGTGCTGTAACAGGAGCAGCCATGTTGCTGCAAATGTTGGTATCTGACTGGTCAATCCTTATGATTCATATCTAGATTTACAAAAACCGTATCCAAATATAAACACCAGGATCACAGAGAGAGTGCTAAACCACGGATTTAAAAGACCAAAATGGTGAGTGTGACACAAACTGTTACTGAGCTAGAGGAGTTTACTTTTCCATGTAAGTCAAAAGGAGCCAGAGAGAGTTGGAGCAAATGGTCCCTGATAACCTTCATTGAGCTTGTGCAATGCCTCTCAATTATTTTCTGCCAGGCCCCCCTTAGGTAGAAGAAAACATTTCGCACCCCCCTTCCTTACATCTTTAGATTGGCTCATAAAATCCACTCTCAGTCAATTAATGACTCACAAGGCTCTTTCTTAAGTATGCAACAAAAACAACAGAAAACAAGACTGCCTCTTGTGGTTTGTTCTGTTTGATTTGTTCACAACATTTGACAGCCAACGTGAGTTTTAGTTTCAGTGCTTCAGGGGGAGATACGGGGGAGACATGAACACTTCCTGAGGCTCCCATAGTCCAGGTCTGTTTCTTTCAGCAGTGTGTTTATCGCTCCAGGGAATGGTCCTGTCTCTGCTTGGAAAATTTAGGCCACGCTTTGGTCGGACACTTTCACAGGCCGCTGGAAGCAGGAACCGCTGTGATTCACTATAATCAGGCTGCATTTGCACCGGGGTCAGAACCGTAGGTCAAAACGCTGCAGCAACGGAGGATGTGGAATCCCGATCGAGGATGCACAGTGAAAAACAGCAAGTTCCCTGCGGTCACGCGCACCCATAAAAAAGTGAGGGGGAGATACGACCCCAGACTGTAACTCTGACAACGAGAGCGCCATTGCCAACAAATTTCCATGTGCAATTACATTTTAATCAAGTACGGCAAAAAAAGCATATTCCCCAGTGTCACACCCCCCTGGCATCGCAGCGCGGCCCCCACAGAGAGCCCACTATTTGGGAACCACTGAGTTAGCGGGTTAGCATTCCATCTATATACAGTCTCTGGCTGATGAAGAGTTTGCAGATGTCTGTCGTGCTGCTTGAACAGTTGAAAATCAGAAAACGTGATGCGCCGGAACTGGTTTGTTCTGGTTTCAGCGGCTCATGGAGCTGTCACAAAGCGCACTCACGCCTCTGTCTTTGTTGTGGGGAAGAAAGGCTTCACAGAGCTGACAAAGAACACACAAGCGCTCAAATCAAATCAAACTTTGATGGACTGTTTTATTGCAAGTGCAGCAGTTTCCTCCTCACTTTATCTCAGAAATCATGTCTTTTTATTTCACAAAATTGAAACTACACAATATAAAACTGTTTCAATATTCTTTGAAAAGTTTTGAAAACGGTAGTTCTCAATTTTGGTCGTTCTAGTTATTTCACATTTCAAGCGAGAACCTTAATATTTCTCCTGCCTTTGCATTTACAAGATAGTATGGTGGTAGTATAGAATTATTTCTTCTTATGCTAAAGTTAGAGATTTTATACAGTTGTAACATGGTTATAAAGCACATTAAAAGGCCATTTTCCCTTTGATTTTCTGATCTGTTTTGGTAAATCAACAGCTTTGTATAGTCCTCCAAGATATCTACTCTGATTTAGGGCTATATAATTTATATATATTTTTTTATCGAGTATGCTTTTTCCATCAACAAATGAAATGTAAATCTTATTTTAAAACCTCCTCCCACACAGAACGAGCCTCGTTGAGAAGACATGAGCCTCTTTCGCTGCTTCACCTGACTCTACGCAAAAACAGATCTAAACCTGAGGAAATATCTAAATCATGAGCCACTGATGCATCCGCCTGTTCCGAGAGCTACTACAACTGTGGCCGTTTGAAAACTATCTACAGCCTGAGTCCTGGATCTACAGCCTCAGTCCTGGATCTACAGCCTGAGTCCTGGATCTACAGCCTCAGTCCTGGATCTACAGCCTCAGTCCTGGATCTGCAGCCTCAGTCCTGGATCTGCAGCCTCAGTCCTGGATCTACAGCCTGTACCTCTGTGTAAGCCGATACCTCTCTCAAAATGAGCCTCTCTGATGTTTCTTTATACCTTGCCGATACATAGGGGTCTAAGAACAGAAAATTGCTAAAAGCAAATGCACATGTAAACCCTGACCAAGTAGGTTCGGAATTTTAATTCATAATAAGGATTGTTAAATAATATGAACTTCTTGAAAAAATCTATTTTATGCAATTTTTCCTCGTCTGCAAAGACTGCTCTCCAAACAATATTTCTAAACAATCACAATCCTGTTGATGCATTCGTTGTTTTTGAATATTTTTCTATTCACGTGAATCTCGATTATTTGACCCGTTTGAATTTATTATTTCTGCCCAATTTTAAGCAAGTCCTTTGTGTGCTCAGAATATGTCATCTCACCTGTATTGTAACGGTATATACAAATAGGTTCAATACTCATGACCAAATTAGATCCTTGATTTGAATATTCTCTTTTTTCAGACATTGTAAGTCTAGCACAAAATGTAAAGAAAAACAATCTCGTCTATTCATTTAGTTTTGGCCGGTTTATGTGATTTAATATATTCTAAAATCAAAACTTGATGAATCTTGTACAGAATATTAGCCTGACAGATTAGAATACTTGTATACGTCTTTTATAGTAAAAAACAAATCAAAAAACAAACACATGATCAGAAGTCTTTTTTCACATATTTGATTACTTAAGTCTTCAAAGTATAATATAAGTCAAATGAATCTATCCGAGTCACTAAAGCCTCCTATTAGAACAAGAACCAGTTTGGGCAGCGCGCTCCTATCCGACGCGTCTTTACGCACGGCTCCTGTGGCCCCTCCACGCTCCGTACCTCTGTGGTGTGGTGTCCGCCGCTTCTGTCTTGTGTCTCCGGTGTCCGGCGTGCGTTTCCCCGGGGAAGAGGGACAGTGGACGCGCGGGATAACGGGAGGGGATTGCTTTGGTGATGCGCACGGTGCTGAGTTGGCTCTTCCCTGTGCGTCTCTGAGCGCCTTCTCTGCAGCGCGGTGCACCGGGGCCACTTTTAAAGGGCTTTGGAGACGGTGACGTCACAGCTAATGGTGAGGGGAGCGGCGTGAGCGTGACAAGAGGTCCACCCCCGCAACCTCACCCCCTCCCTCCTTCCCCGCCAACCACCCCCCCACCGTCCCCTCCCGTCCCCTCCCGAGCCCACCCCTGGGGCGGACCGCAGAGCACGGACATCTGCAGACACTGTTTTCTCTGATGACACAAATACAGAGGTGGCCAGTGACGTAAGCACACTGTACTTAAACAAATGTTTTTCTTGCGTTTAGTACTTGAATGGACAACACTTGACGACTTTCTACTTTTACTCTTTACTTTTCAACTTAAGTATCTGCACTTTAAGCAGGCACGGTGGCTGAGTGGATAGCACTCTCGCCTCTCAGCAAGAAGGTCCTGCGTTCGAATCCCGGCCGGAAACTCCACTTTCTGAGTGGAGTTTGCATGTTCTCGCCGTGTCTGTGTAGGTTTCCTCCGGGTACTCCGGTTTCCCCTACCACTAAAAATATGTACAATAGGTCTGGCATGCGCCTCCTGTTCGGCGACCCCACTCCCATCTCTGTGTGGAGTGAGAGGACAAGTGCCCAAAAATAACAATTGTAAACTGCTTTGTGACTCTGGTCTGTGAAAGGCGGTATATAAATAAAGATTACTTACTTACTTATGAGATTCTATGGTGCAGGAGAAAGTTGGTCCAATGTCCAACTTGGGCTTTATACAGGTTTAAAGTTTGCCATTCTTCTAAATTCAGTAAGTGGAATGTCAGCGGCCTTCTGCTTCTACATATTTTTTGATGTAATATTTTGTGCCAGAGTGACATACTTCTACACAAGTAAAACAATAGTTTGTGTTTTGCACCGAAATAAATACTCATAACAGCAGTGGTCTCTGAGGACTTTGTCAATTCCTCAATAACAGAAAGAATCAAAGAGAACACAGGAAATGCAATGATAACAAACACCTGGGAGCCAGTGGGAGAAATGTCCATAAAGGTCCTTAAATGTTCCGGATAATCTCTGTCCTCAGACCCTCCTAATCCTGTGAGAAACCTCGAGGAGGACCATAGTGAGAGAAGGATCTGCTCCCACGGACAAACATGTTATAGCTCCAAGACTGAGGCTCTGTGGTGGAATACTGAGGAGGCTCCCAGGTGGGGAGGGGGACAGCAATGAAAAGACTATTATTTACTTTTACTATGAGGTAATGACTTAAATAGTTTTATCAAAGGTAATTTGCAATAGCTGCACACACACATGGTTTTTACATTGGCCAGAGCAGATGCACTGCCTCCAGTGTTTTAGAAAGACCGTGCTAACTCTAACTTACACTTGTCCATAGGAGGGGCTTAAAACATACATGTACACATTTCAGTCCAAGGAAAAGGACTGATCCACACAGAGCCACCGACTGAGGCTCTCTGTTAGCTCTATCAAAGCACACAGTCTGACTGAGGCTCTGTGTTAGCTCTATAGAAGCACACAGTCTGACTGAGGCTCTGGTGTTAGCTCTATAGAAGCACACAGTCTGACTGAGGCTCTGGTGTTAGCTCTATAGAAGCACACAGTCTGACTGAGGCTCTGGTGTTAGCTCTATAGAAGCACACAGTCTGACTGAGGCTCTGGTGTTAGCTCTATAGAAGCACACAGTCTGACTGAGGCTCTGGTGTTAGCTCTATAGAAGCACACAGTCTGACTGAGGCTCTGGTGTTAGCTCTATAGAAGCACACAGTCTGACTGAGGCTCTGGTGTTAGCTCTATAGAAGCACACAGTCTGACTGAGGCTCTGTGTTAGCTCTATAGAAGCACACAGTCTGACTGAGGCTCTGTGTTAGCTCTATCGAAGCACACAGTCTGACTGAGGCTCTGTGTTAGCTCTATCGAAGCACACAGTCTGACTGAGGCTCTGTGTTAGCTCTATAGAAGCACACAGTCTGACTGAGGCTCTGTGTTAACTCTATAGAAGCACACAGTCTGAGTTGAGCAGAGCGGCTGCTTCAGTATAGCAATAATCTGTATGTATTAAGTATTTTTCAATGATGATCAGGGTTCAATTCTAGTGTGGAATTGGCATGTTCTCCCCATGTCTGTGAGGGTTTACTCCAGGTGCACCGGTTTTCCCCATACCACTAAAAAACATGTACAATAGTTTTGAATGTAATGGGAGAGTGAATGAATGGTGATGGTTAGTGTACAGGTGGGAGGGGTTAACCACTTTTGTAGATTGAAACGATTGGATCTGAGTTTACTGTGACGTATGTGATGCGCCCGATTCTGCCGTTAGCATTTAGCCTAGCCATCTCCTTTGCGGCTAACGTAGCCCATGGGGAGTAGCGCCACAATCTTTGCCAGCAATGACTTTTGCTAAACATTCCTCTTGCTCCGGCTTCAATTTCTTGATAGAACCAGACAGGATTACTTTACTATCGCATTCTTCGCCATTGCCAAACCACAACCTGCCCTTTCGACACAAACCCTTGACGTCACCCACAACTAACTACAACATCCGCCTCCTGCGCTCGCTGATTGGACGGATCGAATTCAACCGATTGTAATCGCTAAGACAGGGAACAGACCCAGACGTTACATGCAGGGAAATGATAATTGACCGGAGTGTACGGATGGCTAAGGCCAGGCTAGTCGTTCTGTAGTAGACAGTAGTTTAAGTTGTATTAAAACCCGTAATTTAATTGAAAAATCAAGCTAATTGATTCAGCTTGTGTATGAATTCAGTCCATAAAAAGTGCTGAATAAAAACTTTGCATGACGCTCGTTCTCCGAGGCCACGCCTCCTTTATCGTCTGCAGCCCATGTAAACAAGAGCAGCATGTTAGAATGTGGCTAAAGGAGGATCTTTGTTTACACCTGCAAGATCAGAGGAGATATAAAGACAAGCTAAAATAAGTATATGAGATGAGACTGAACTGAACAAATTCAAAACCCATGAGACCTGGGATGACGAAAAGAAACATTGCCCATACTCACCTCTGTCTTGTCACAGATCTGCTGGGACTGGGACTCGGACACATTTATTCTTACTTTATTGAAAACCAAGAAGAGTCCGTGGTGAAAATCCAATTCATCGCGTTTTTCACCGCGGTAAAGTGGCCCGGCATTTTACCGTTGCGGTAAAGCACATTAAAAGCGGGTTGCCCCTGTTTGCTGTTACTTACGGTAAAGGTGGAACAGGAAGGAATGAGTGAGTGAACAAGTGCACAGTGAAAGTAGTTGCAAAACTTAAATTTGTTTATGACTTTTTATAAACGCGATTAATGAAAAATTTATCAACGTGCGTTAACGCAATAATTTTGACAGCCCTAATAAAAACATTACCCTTGCCCATTCTCCACTGCTGTGTGCCTTGCTTTAGATCGCACCGTCTTGGAATACAAAGTAATTTGCTGAATGACATTTTACACTTCTGCCACTTGATAGCAGTGGTGCGTTTTATCATCTACTTCAGAATCACATTTATCAATGTATTTTTATCCACATTCTAAAACATGAAAAAAGTAAGAACTCCCAGTGTGAAATAATGTTTTCATAAATCAGAATCAGAATCCACATATATTGACAAACACTTTCGTTCTCGCTCCCATTTTCCTTATGGATTCATCCTAGAAAAATAAAATTCTGTTTTTATAATCAAGAGACCCCTACTGTTCACTAATCTGTCTAATCATGTTTCAATGAGCACTTATCCCATGCTGAGACAATTCATCCCACCTCGCAGGTGTGGCATGGCGGTTTCATAAAGACATTTGTTTGTACCAATTTGTTGATGTTCGGTACACGACTGGTCCCGATATGTAGAGATTTGATAGAGTCCTAAAATACATGCCGGCGAAAACTGCCACTGGAGCCAGACAGTTTTGTGCATGATAAGTTGGATTTATTATTAAGTTAATTCAATCTGGAGAGACTTCAGAAGACAAAATGCATTTTGAATGTTTTTATTGAAAGGTGGTTTGGCGCCCTAGGCCCCGGTGCGGCGTTCAACGAGGCTCCTGCGTGAGTGCGCGCACAATCCCCCTGGACCTAGGCACTGGTGGTGGCATTCGGGCACCAGAAAAGAGGCATGCTTGAGGCAGGGTGAGAAAAGGAGGTGGAGGGGAGGCGGTGGTTTGCAAGGCTTTGAGAAGGCCGTAAAGTGGGAGTTTCTCCACTTTTAAGCTGCTGGCTTGACCAGCGTAGGTTGGTTGGAAATGGGCGTTTGCTGTGCGATAGGCTGAGGATGCGAGGCCGGCCTTGAAAAAAGACCCCCCAAAAATCTGAGGACGAGGCAGCGTCCGCGAAGAAGCGCAGGGCATCGGAGGAACGGATGACATCACCGCAGAAAGAGACGCAGACCCAGCGGCCCAGCAGGCGGGACTAGAACACGGGCCAGGGCGGCGCCCGGCAGCCAGGGAAGACAGCGTCGAGTTGGGAGGGGCCGAAACCAGCGAGGTGCTCGAGCAGGGAGAGCAGCTGGCGCTTCGACACCAACGGGGCCTGGAACCTCCCGCGCCGGAAGCCGTGGGGCTTGTGGAAAGCAGACAGCAGGTCACGGGACGCGGACGTCAGGAGGAAGACGATGAACACCCAATCGGGATGGAGCACGAGCGCGTGGCCGAGCCTGGGCAAGAAGACCGGGGCCGAGAGGTGAGCGCTGATCAGGCCCGGATGAAAGCCCTTCGGAACGGCGGCCTCACGGAGCGCGCCGGGGGCACGGAAGCCGGGACGGGCCCCCCAGCACAGACCGACGAAGGAAACAGGCTCCAAGGACAGCACGGCTAGGACTGGGTCTAGGATTGCTGGGGAACTGCAGCGTCGATGACCAGCGGCTTAACGATCGTTTCTTCAGTCTTGCCCTTGCATTTATCTGGAAGGACCCATCAAACAAACATTTTTAATAACGCCACGCTGAAGAGGTCCACACCGTACCGCGTTTGCGGGAGAGGCCACGTTGCGAGCGCAGGCCACAGAGCCCAGTCCACAGAGACGCGGAACTAAAGTTGAGACCACATTTTCCGAGCAAGACAAACCAGAGTCAGCGCAATCCTTTACGTGTCCAGGAGCTCGAGATCCTCTAGTGGACCCCAAAACGCGATCCGTTTGACAATGTGCGAGACAGTCTGCACCAGTATGAAGGGGAAACGTTACACCACTCCGCAGTCCAATGTGAGGGCTAAAACTGAGAGCCTG